TTTAGACTGGACGTAAAGAAAAAGTTTTTCACAATAAGGGTAGTGAAGCAGTGGAACAGGTTGCCCAGAAAGGTGGTGGATGCCCCATCCTTGGAGACATTCAAGGTCAGTTGGAGGGGCTCTGAGCAACCTGATTCAGCTGTGGGTGTCCTTGTTCACTGCAGGGGACTAGATGACCTTTAAAGGTCCCTTCCAATTCAAACAACTCTGTGATTCTATAAAGTAAGACTGAATTGGAGCCTAATTTCTGTCTTTTCACACTCAAGATTTGGTGTTAGTACTATAAAAAAGGTATTTTCTGTCCCATTTCCTTTCGCAGTTACGCTGAGCAAGACCTCTAGCCCAGTGCATCAGCATATAAAATGAAAGAAAATGTCTAACACCACGATCTTGCTACACTTATCATGAATGTATCACTCCCTCACCCCTCTGCAAATTATTTTGCTGGAGGCTACATCATTCCCTCTGAGCAGCACGCCGGGAGCTGATGGAGGCGTGAGGCACGAAGCCTCCCCAGTGCTGAGCTGCAGCATGTTGGGCGGCCTTTGATGTGAACTGGTTGTGCTGGTTCCTGGCGCCCCGGGAACCGGTCCGACGGGCCTGTTATGCCAACAAATTCTGGTATGATTCCACACTCTCCAGAATGCAGAAACCTGCCCAGCCAGTTAAATGAAAGGCATATTAGGTTATCCATTGCACATTGTATATATCCTAGGAGCAGCAGATCTCCTCTCGGCACTCTCTAGTGTGGTCCACGGTGGCTTCCTCATCTTACTTACGCTTGAGGTTTATAGCTGGAGGGGAAGTCAATAGTAAACATTTATCACCCTGATCAAGAGCAGAACTTTGCACAATTCAAAGAGAAGGGTGAGTTTTGAAAGCCTTTATTTAAAATTAATTTAAGATAACCTTAAGAAAAAATTTATCTGATGCTTGAAATGATATAATGGCTATCTCCTTAACGTGTGTGGGTACTGCCAGCCTCTGTGGTGCTTGGTGACAGGATTCTGGGGAGAGCAGCTTTTTGACCCTTCTTATGCATAGCTCAACATCTGTCTGCAGGAGTATTTACTGGAGACAGTTTAAGGAACTAAGCATGGATTGAGAGAGAAACTTCACTGCCAGTGACTTAGTACACTGAGCATGTCATTTGAGTGTTGCCTCTTGGTCTCTTTAATACAGTGTTTTTGTAATCCCTTTCTCATACTAACACTTGCTGTGATGAGACATAGTGCAACTACAGCAAGATGTGCTGCTACTGGGTCTTGTTGGGATTTTTTTTTTTTTAATTGTTCAGTTTTATGAGGTGAGTTAATTAAAACTAGATTTACACGTTCAAAAATTGGCTCCTGGTAAAATAGGAAATGTACTTGTCATTCTTACCGCTTCCTTTCTGCATGCTTATCAGAAGTTTTCCTGTTTAGAACATACCGGGTAACGGTGGTGGCAACAGTAACAAAAGCAGACCTAGGCATAAAGAGTAGGCAGACCTGAAGGTTGTACCTGTATCAGCAAGTGAGTCCATTCACAAGTATGGTGTCAAATAAGAAAAATTAAACAGTGTGAAAACAAAAGCTGTGGAATCTGGTAACTGATTAACTACTGGAGCACAGAAGTACTTGCTGAGCTGAACAGAAAGGAATGAAGACAGGTTTTGTCATGCCTGTTAGGACAAAATAACTCTTTACCTTAAGTAAATGTGAATATTCTCACCATCCATGTAACTGCATTTTTGAAAACCCTTACATAGTTGCTTCTGTCTCCCTGGGATTCTTAATTCAGTCTATCTTCAAGTGAAATTATTACAAGTTTTCTTTCATTGTGTTAAAAATGAAAATAAATCAGTGTTCCCAATGGACAGAAGCCACTAGATCCAAAAAGATCTGTACAGGACTAAGAAAGAAGTTATAGCAGTCACACAACAGGAAGCTTCAGTTATGGAGGTATTTACTGCCTGCTATTTCCAGGTTGATGAAAAAAATGAACATTATTACCCTTCCGTAAAATACTAGTTAAAAAAATCTGCTAAAAAACCCAATGAATAGCAGATTAAATGATCTTCTCATTAGTCACATTGTATCTCTGTGTTAAAATTACTCTTCAAAGCGTGGGTATACGTATAGAAAATAACACAGAGATTCCCTAAAATTTTGCACTCTAACAAAACATAAAGACATTTTTTTAAAAAGTTTAAATTTTATCATCATTGTTGATTTTCTTATTAAATACAGAAGGAAATTTTGCTAAGGAATAAACTGTTCTCCAAAGAGAAACAATGGAACTGGCTGAACTGCATGGTTTGAGCAGAGACTCTCTGTAAAACTTACAAAATGCTACAAGAGAGGTTTGATTTCTAAAGTTAGAGTGTTGGAACACAGTACATTTTTTTTAAATTCAGATCAAGCTTCACAAAATACTGCTTGCCATCTTCTCTCTCTGCAGTCTGTATTCTGCTTTATTTGGGTTTTCCTTAGCTGCTTTTTTTTGAGGGGGGGGGGGGGGGGGGGGGGGGGGGGGGGGGGGGGGGGGGGGGGGGGGGGGGGGGGGGGAAGGGGAGGAAGGGACAAGGAAGGCAGGGGCTATTGTTTGGAATTTTTTTTCCCCCAAAAGGTAAGTAAAAAGTTTCCAATTTGTTGTTTCTATTTTGATTGTTTTCCTGTCCTGAAGTCTTGTCATTCACTACAGCAGAAGGTAGATGGCATGATTTTGTACACAGACCTGTACATTTTTACTTCAGCCTTCCAAGCTGAAATAGCTCTCCAGGGCTGAAATATATATGCAAAACTATTCAAGACTACTCATGACAACCTGACAAACATCAGTAAGAGCAAAACATTTCTGCACGCAACTCACTCAAACAGGTGCTCTCTTTAGAGTCCGAGGGCCAGGAACACTGCACTGTGGTCCTGAAATGGAACCCCTCAGGTCCCGGTGTGGCTTTTTTCTCCAATAAAACTCTCAAAAAGACCTGAGAGTTTCAGCTGAACAAATTCAGGCTGTTTCTGACTGCAGATGAGCAGTGAACGCACTTCAAAGAAGAGCCCCTTAAAGTGAACACTGTTACTGGCATCAGGGAATTTGATCTTGGCTCCATTTCAAAAGTTCCTACGCAAGCAGCTTGAGAAGAATCACATTCAGCTAGTGGGGGGTGATGGAGTGGCAGAAAAAGCAAATAATACCATTGCCAGACAGCAATGGTATGCACTGTGTGCATTCCCAGATGTAAGAAATCATACCACTCAGAGGACCGCCAGTTCCTGCACTCCTAGCCAAACCCTGTTTAGGGGGTTTAGGTAACAGCTGAACTGCCACATACTCCTATTCACTGCATAGGAAGCTGGGCTCCTTTGATGTCTGTATTGGCAGCTGCAACATAAAGTTCATGAAATGAACATGCCTAGATGTTAAGCAACATATTTATCCCTCTGTGCAGATCTGCAAGTCATGGAGGTTGGGAGTACACTGGCCATGGATGTATATGTGCTGTCTACTAAATCTCATGTAAATAAATAAGGACTTCACCAGTGTGCATGTATATCTATATATACAGGAAAAGAGTGATACATTTATTGTTGTTTTCAAAACAATTTAATATCTCAATTAGAGTTCCCATTACAATTCAAAGCTGGTTTTAATCTTTGCATCTAAATTTATAAAAATGGAAAAATATAAGTTATCTGCTAATCTCTTTTAACCGTATTTTGTATGCATATGCAGTGGGCTAGGTCTTATCTGAATGCAGTGTTATCTGAATGGTTAGAGACACTGACACAGCCTCATTAAAAAAGGAGGGGTCATAAAGGCTTTTCTTGATTGTTATTTTATCTGTGCTACAACATTGCACTACTCTTACAAGAGAATTTCCATCACTGGTTGATTTGCTGGGATTAAATTAGGTTCTCTTCTTTAGAATTGCTCATGGATAAGTATTCTGTCACCTAGTTTATTGTGCCATATTATTTTGAAATCTGAACATGAGCCAAAACACTACAAAAAGTTTTGCCACTGTTCAAGCAGAACAGTGAAGTCTTTTCTGCACAGTTTTATTGCCTAGGTGTGGTGTTCACTCTTAGGAGATGAATGAGATGAGTTCCAGTCAGACTAACCAGCTTAAGACATCCCGTATAAGTGGATGTGCAATATATGACTCTTCAGTAGTTTTCTAGTGTGTTTAATGAGCCAGGGATCTCTGCAGTAATTCATGATCAAATACATGATTATGAAATACATAAAATCAAATAAATCTGGAAGGGAGATAAATGTAAAGTTCAACTCCTGGTCTTAATCCATTACCGCTTATTGCTATGCAGATAAGGATAGCACTTTAAGGAAGTCAACGGAATTACATTGCTGTAAAGTTCATTCAGCATGAACATATACGAAAAGAAGCTGCTCACAGAGTTTATTGGGAAATAAAATTGATGACACTATTTTCTGGAGTGCTTTCTATAAACAAAAAGAAAGATTTATGGTAAAGCACCCAACGAATAAGGAAGAGAACAATTTTATTGCTACTTATCAGGTCTATGTATGTATCTAAGACACCTGTTTCTTTTAACTGCACGGAAATGATTACTTTCCTACATCACTAACTTTTAGATTAGAGAAGCTTCAAAAGCAGAATACAAAGCTGCTACTAAGACAGTATTTACAGTGATTATTTAAGAATACTGGAGCATCTAAGGCAACCTATGATGATAGTTTCTTCTCTAAAATGAATGCACTGAAATTATAATATACCAAATTTATAATGTGCTGCTGAGCTACTGAACACTAAATTTCTTTTAAGTTACATGGAAAATAAGTCGTTAAACAATGCTGAGGAATTAGTGGAAGAGTTAATAATAAGATTTTTGAAATATTTCAAAATTCAAGGTATATCGTTGGTGGGAAACTGAAAATATTCTCAAGAGATGAAAACAGATTTGAGTCTATGTTATCACTGGTCACCTAGGACTCCTGTCTGACAGTATTTCAAGATATCTCAGAAACGTTAAAATGGTATCTCAGATTCCATTTTACTTATGCTGTAGATCTGTATTTATGATACTTTCTGGAGATTTGAGAGGTCTGAGTAATGTAACAAGAGTAAGGTGAAACTGCTATTTACATCTATTGAACACCTGAACAACTAATACTGTAACTAGGTTAGATGTCAGGTTGGACATTAGGAAAAGGTTTTGCACAAAAGGGCAGTGGGCATGGAACAGGCTCCCCAGGGCAGCAGTCATAGCCTCAATCTGTTGGAATTCAAGAAATAACTGGATAACGCTCTTAGATATAGGGTCTGATTTTTGGGTGGTGTCAGGAGTTGGACTCCATGATCCTTGTGGCTCCCTTCCAACATGGGATACTCTATGATTCTATGAATTAATAGACTGGAAGCACGTGCTTGCAGCGCTGGCCCTTGCAAACAGATCACCAGTTTACACTGGTCAAGGATGTCACTAATCTTACGCTTATGTGTACATAAGCGTTTCTATATACACCAAAATGGTGATGTTGGTGATGATAAAGGCAGACTAATAGTACAGAAAATCAGTGTTTTGTTTTCTATTTCATTACTAAGAATTATGAATCAAAGATTGAGGGGATTACTTCAAGGCAGAGGGCAGAGTTGGTTCCAAAGAAACACAGAACGTTCACCTGCAGTTTGAGTGAACTAGATAAATAAATAAAATTGGTAAAAATCTCAAGTGACGCACAACGTATCACATAGATCAGCCAGCCTCTGCTGCCTAAAGCCATGACAATTACATGAGCCTACAGGTCTTCGTAGCCACACATGCATTAAAGCATGCCTTGGACTGCTCTGCCACATGCCAAGGCAGCAAACGCAGCAATCCGCTGAGATCAAGAACGGGATAAAAAGCACTGCAAATACGCTTGGTGCGCAGATCCCAACAGCCAGCAGAAGACAAATCCCGACACTCCCTCGGCTCCCTATAACGCTCCCTGCCGCTACGCCAAACCGCGCCCCTCACCAACAACCCACCCCCTCGCACCTCCCGACAGCGCCCCCGGCCCCTCACAGCTCCGCTCTCGCGAGAGCGGCGCGGAACCATCGCGAGATCTGGCCCTGGCCCCTCCCCAAAGGCAGGGAAAGGTGCTCGCTCCGAGCTTTCGCTTTTCCCGCCGTTTCCTGCGGAGCCGCCGGGAGCCAACCAGGTAACGGCGCGCGCCCGCCGCCTCACCGCCCTCTGGTACCGGGCGCCGCGCTGTAGCGCGGCCGGCAGCGGGGAGCCCCCCCGTCGCCGGGGCTCGGCCTTTCTAAGTGACCGCGCTCGCGGCGGGACGCTGGCCGGTTGTCAGGCGTTTGTCATGGCCGGCAGGCGCGGGGAGCTCCGCTTGTGGGGTGAGGGCGCAGCGCTGGTGCCGTACTGCTGGGTCAGGGGGTGCGGAAGAGCTCCGGGAGAGGTGCGCGTTCCCGTCAGCCCGGTACCTGTGAGGGGCGGCAAGAGGAGGGGAGCGCGGTCCGGAAAGGGGTGTTTATTGAAGTATGTGCGGTTGGAGGTAGGGAAATAAGAGCGTACGAGCCGTTCCCAATGTCACTAGGCCATCGGTTCCGTAGGGAAGCGCTGTACGATGGCAGCATGCAAAGCGAAGCGTTTCAGCCACGGCGATGCGAGCAGAGTGCCGTCCAACTTGAGCTGAAGAGCTGTAGGCATTGCTGACTTGGAAAGGTAATCTTATGTTCTATTCTCAGTATCAAAACGTGAGCCGGTTTGAAATCAGGCACCGAAATGGGCTGCTGCGTTTTTTAAGAGATGTGTGAATGTTCTGTTACTGCATCTCTGTGTCAGTACACTGTAGAAAACATACGGTTTGAGAATTGCTATGTTCCATTTATTACATTATTCCATGTTAAAGATGTGCAAACTGAAATGAAAGTGAGTTACTTAACCCTATACACAGAGCTTCGAGAAAGGAAACAGCATCCAAGCCTCCAGCTCCTAGGCTAGGTCACTGACCACCAGGTTATCACAGTGATCAGTTAAGCCAGAAGACACATTCATGGGGAACTGAAGCTGTGATTACATGAATGTGTCTGTATTGGACACCCAGTGCACTGGTTAGATCTGTGTACCATGCTTCCTCTGTAGATCACCTGAGGGAATCATCTCTGCTAAGAAAAAAGTTAGAAGAATTACAAGCTGTTCTATCTGTACAGGCGGTCTATTTTTTAAGACAAAGCAGTCTGATGGTTATCCTGAACTATAGGTGTTTGGGGGATTCGTGAATTCTGAGACTGATCTAGTCCCTTTGCATCACAGCATAGGAATATTTTCGTAGTAGAATCAGGAAGATTTCAAGGAGATCAAGGCTTCTTTTTGGAGAAGAGTGTCATTTGAATCCTATGTATGTAAAGAATGCATGTACACAAATGTGTGTCTGATAAAACGTCTGACAAACAGTTTTACTAAACAGCGAAACTCTGAAAGCGTGGATTACTTTTAGAAAACAGCTGTAGTTTTATGCAGAGGAGGAATAAAAACAAACAAACATCTTAATCTGTTTTTAATTTGATAACTGTTTAAGGGATGGGAGGTAGAAGGGACAATTTTATAATCAGTTGCAGCACAGTATTTGCATCTTCCATACTTAGAGCGTGACTGTCACTGAATAAGTGCAGCTTGACAAGAATGTGTGAGCTTTGTCTTTCATCCATGGCTGCATGTTATGCTCTGATAAATGCAAACATAAGTGTTGTCGATCTGTCATTACAGGCATACACCTGTCTTCAGAAACAGCTTCACAACTATGCTGTTTAAAACTTAAAGTGTGAGAGTGTGCCAGTTCTGCAAACAAATCAAAGAAGTTGAGAGCAGAAAAAACAAGATGAATGCATCTGGGGGAACTTGTGGGAGCCCCAGTTCTGCAGAACCTGCTGGAGATTTCTTCAAGGAACTGTGGTCCAAACTGAAAGAATGTCATGATAAAGAAGTGCAAGGTAAAACAGCTTGCTGTGAAAGCGGATTTTATCTGGTATCTCGAGGGGGGGGGGGTTGAACCAGAGTACTGTTCTATGTGTGTGGAACTAAATGCATTCTTAACATCTTGTGTTATGCAAGATGATGGACTGGGTGATTACAAATGATTGCTACCTAAGCCTGATTTAAAAGAATTGCATTTAAACTGCCCACAGCTATAAATGATTTGGTAGATCAGATGAGATGCAGTCTTATGTGGGATCTCTTTTTGCCTAGGAAATACTCAAATAGTGGCTTAGCTTGAATGTTATGATTTAAAGTTACCAAATCAAGTTCTTGTTTTTATTTTTTTAATCACATCAAATACATCAAAATGATCACTGAACAAATATCTGCATAATTTCACCTGACCTGTGCCAAATCCCACTGCAGATTGCAATTAGTGAAGTGAAAAGTATTTCTTAAATTTTCAGTGTCCCGCAATTTCTCAATATAAGAACAGGCAACATTTTTATAAATAATATGTATTTTGTGACCTGTGTGATACTAATTTTACTATGGTTTGACTGTTAGTGCCTTTCCATTCTTCAGTGGTGTGGAGAATTAGCAACGCTCAAAGATGAATTATTGCACTGTATATTTATAATTGTAATACTGTTTTGCAAGTAGTATTCATAAGACCTTGTGCAAAAAATACTTTGTTGGAAGTTGAATCTGGTTATCTGAAGTCACACAATCCATTTTTCTGAATGGAATTGGAACAGTATTTGCATATTCAACAAGGACATTGCTATGCATAAAATAGTGTTTCCATGAGGCTGGAATAATAGCAGTTGAGTTTTTTGTGAATTCTGAGCTTCAGTTGTACAAGTGGATCTTTATAGTCGGACCATTCCAGTAGCCTTGGTCATTTTCCCATGCCTCAAACCTGATGTAGGTGTGACTGTTTTGGTCCAGTTAAATCATCTCTTGTGAGTTTTAAAAACTGTGAGGATTGCTCTATAATGTTGAGATGTTTCATACCTCAGAACTCAATGATATGTAAGGCTGGTCCTTCACACTTTGTGTTAGTAATTACAGAGAAAATGAAATCTAACAACTTGGCAACCTAAAGGAGAGAGATGCCAGTTAGTAGCTTTTTGTTCCATTAAAAAATAGCCGTATTAAATATAATTTTATACTGTATCCTGAATCACAGAAAAAAATTACTGTGTTCTTGAGATTTTACTTAAAAAAAAAAAAAAAAATCTTTTTGGAGTGGGTGTGATGTAAGCTACAGATAAAAGCAGAATTACTGACAGAATGGGATCTGGCAATCTATGGCATGTCTGAACAACAAAAACTTGAAAACCGAAAAGCTCTAATGTGGAGGGTGATGTTAAGTGACCCCTTCTCTAGTTTCTTGGGATGTGCAGCACGTGATTTAGCATTTTGGTTTTCTTTATGCATATAAAGATGCTCTTTAAAATGTATGTTGGGTGGGGCCAGAATTTTGCCACTAGGCAGACTTTTTCATGCCTAGCCCTTTGTCAGTGTGTCCCGCACCGTGTTAGGTAAAATTAGGTCTTCCATGATAACATCAAAGACATGCCTTAAGGAGAGTTAATTTTTTCAAAAGGTGGGGATCCTCTTATAGAAAATGTTACTGGAAGATATTTTAGAAACATCAAACACAGGCTTGCCTGGACTTTACTTGTTTCTGAAGTCTATAAATAAGAATTAAAATTGACTCATGATTTTCCAATCTGAATGTCAGCAAAATTTTATTTTAAAGATGGTGGGTGTTGGATTAAGTGAAAGTTAGTCATTGGAGAAGAAGTGTGTTGTGTGCACAGAGCACAGGATACTATTGTGGTGTAGCTCTTAATTATTACAAATCTGTGGAATGCAGAGTTTTGTTACGTAAGAGCCTGAAGGGATCAGTATATTATATAGAGAATATTTAGCAATATATAAATGGAATACTTCAAACTCATACATTCTTAAATGGGTTGTGCTGAGTTTTTTTGTTGCTGTATTGTAAAGAGTGTATGTTTCTCTCTTCTACCATGCTAGCTAAACAGACCTCATCTTGCAACTTTTTCCTTAGAAAGTGGATTTTTATTTAAAAAAAAAAAATCCAAAATTTGGCTCTCCAGACAAAATATTTAGCATTTTCTCTCTAAATCATCGTGACCAACAACGGGACTCCTACAACCCAATTCCTGAAGATATCGGACATGGTCAGAGTTGATTGACTTTCATGGACTTCGAGCATGCTCAGCAACTTGGAATAATGGTTATTAAAGCTGTGTTTGCTTTTATTCCTACCAATAGAACTTGTGAAACACTTGCATAGCTCATGCAAATTAGAAAGCAGTGTGGTAATGCTGTGTTATCATAGAATCACCAAGGTTGGAAAAGACCCACAGGATTACCCAGTCCAACCATCCACCTATCACCAATAGCTCTCACTAAACCATGTCCCTCAACACAACGTCCAAACGTTCCTTGAACACCTCCAGGGTCGGTGACTCCACCACCTCCCTGGGCAGCCCATTCTAGTGCCTAAGGTGATTAAGTTTTGCAGATGTCTAACACTTAAATCTAGCTCAAAATAATCATATGGATGCTTTCTGCTCATGTCTTATCAGCATGGTTCCTGTGAATGAATTTAGACATTGTTCATTGTAGTATAAAGTTTTATCTTTTCTCATACAAATGTGAGGAGTTACGTGTACAAGATGTAGCTTAATTCTTTTCAGTTTTTCTTTATCTGAAACTGATAATGGAGGAATAGGGGGAAAAACTGTAGTCCTTGAAGCTGGGAGAACTATGAGGAAAGCAATCTAATTGATTGCCATCGGTAAGGAAATGGCTAAAGACTCTTCAAAAGTTAATAATAATAGAAAACAGAGCTAGAAGGGAACGCAGGAGGTCATCCAGTCAATTTCTATACCCTTAAGGAAGGACTTTATCTTTGTCCATGCTGACAGAAGCTTGTCCAACCATTTCTAGAAGTCAGATTCTGCAGGCTTCCTAAGCACTGTCAATTTTAAGAAGATAGAATTATTGCATTTGAAAATTCTCCAGAGCAGTATTTGTCATGTGCATTAATTGAAACCTTACAGGTACAGAATGTAATCAACTTGCAGTTTTTTTAAAGACAGTGTTGCGTATTTAATCTTCTTAATGACAGTTTAAAGAAAGTCTCCACTGTCTTAGTAGAAAGAGTGTCATTTGCTAAAGCACTAATGAGCTTTAGGTAACATGAACTTACTATAGTCATTAGCTTGTCTTTCATAGGAGCATTGTGTAAGAGAAAACTGAATTTAGAATGTAGATAGCATGGTTTTTTTTACTATTATCTACTATATGCTTTTACTACTACATCTACTATATGTTTAGTAGATGGTTAAATAAGGAAATGTGGAAGTTTGTGTTGCTTAACAGATAAAGGAAAGCTGTCTTAATTATCTTGGTTAAAGTCTCTAACGCTCTGGAAAAGCAAAATTAAGAGATTACAACTAATGTAGTAATTCAGTGTTCTCAGAGTAATGTAACAAGCTGGTTTCCTGCCTTCTCATTGCAAATCATTTGAATTAAGAAAGAACACAACCTCGAAGGAGCTACTTCAGTTCCTCTTGCATTCAGGTGAGAGGTGAGATTGTGTTACCTGCAGCACAGTACTGAGCCTTTTGAGTGCTGCCTCTTCAATTTGTGGCTCAGATTGCCAGTGTTACAATCCTGAATACTTGCTGAACGAACTACCTGTTCATACAGGAGATGCATTGTTGTGCAGCTTCATTCCTTCCGATGGGTGTGGAGCAGCATTAAAGCACCCTTTATAGGGGTTCTAATTGCAGATGCCTAATTGACTTAATGAAGAGGTTAAAAAAAAAATAAACCCTCTTTCTGTGCTGATATGCATGACAGAACCTAACATCTCGCAGGTGTTGGACACCTAGAGATAAAAGAAATCTTGTCATATTTCTTAATACTTTTTTTTGTTTGTTTGTTTTAAGCAGTAAGTGTGTTTCTTGTCTCCATGTCTCACTAGCGTCATATAGCAGTGATAGGGGTTCATCAAGCTTTTGGCTGACCTGGCCATTATGTTTTAAGTGTCCTGAAAAGTGAGCATTCTCAAGCAAGTAGTTTTCTGCTTTGAGCTGATCCCAATCAAGTGTGGTAGGTGAAAGGGAAAAAAAGAAGTCTACTAGCAGCCTTAGCCTGCTTTTCCTACAGTAAGAACACATTGGATATGTTACTTAATTTAAATTTCAAGTTGCCAGAGGTTCTAGAAGTGTTCTGGTGCCATTACACCTTCCCAAAAGATGAATGCGTTTGCAAGAAAGTTCAGAAGAAACCTGATGTTCATACTCAAATTGTTCATAGCCTTCTGATGTCTTATTGAATTTGCTATGGCATATGTAATTAAGAAAATGTTAAAAAGCTAGGGTCTGATTGCTAGCAGCTGTTTATTCAAAATGGGAATGACCATTTTGCATATGGATAGTATCACAAATGTCACTGCATCTAGCTTAAGCTGGGCAGTACCTCTATTAGAGTGCACTGTCCTTTGGTACTTTAAAGCTCTGAAACATAATTTTAGTAAGCTTCCCTTATGTATATCTAATGTAACACATTCTTTGATTCATTGATTGCATGCTAGTTTCAAGTGTGGTATCATGCATTAATATATGCAGAGAATGTATTTTGTGTCACGTATGCATAGGCATTGAAAATACACTGACAGTAATTGGTATTCATACATATGTGATTTTGGTATTCGTACATATGTTTGTTGTTTTAGGTTTTTTTCCCTTCTTTTTCCAAAAGGGTGCTGTTATGTGCAAATCTGAGTGCTTAAGAAGTCTCAATTTCCTGTAAATTGTAAGAGACTTATTTGTTTCCAGGATATTGCAGAACATAGCCAAAAATTATCTATTTTCTCTCCAAATTAGTCACTGTTTTCTCTCTTGTACATATGTCATTGGCAAAACAAGACTTCATCCTCTGAGAGTGTTGTATAATGTGTATTTTTTTTCTTTCCACTTCTCAGGCTTACAACTGAAAATATCCAAGCTCAAAAAGGAAAGATGCTTGTAAGTAGTCATACTGATGATCTAACTTATTAAAGGAGGTTCTAAGTACAAATAATGATCTGTTATTCCTGTAAGGTTCAATATTGTAGGTAGGATGAAAAAGAAAAGTTTCTTTCTGTAAAAGAAAAGTGGCAAGGCAACTTTTTTTTTAGAGTTTTTTTAAATTAGGTATTTGTATTTAATACATTATTAATATATATTTATATTTTTCCTCGCTATGTTTTTTGAAGAAAAATTACGGCATTGTCTTCTTTTTTTTTTTTTTTTTTTGGTACTATAGTGGTTCAAGCAATTATCTAGAATTTCTGATAGTTTTTTTTATTTTATTAACTCCTGGTGTGCTTTGGTCTCTGGTCAGGAGGGAAACAAATGCTTCTTTTTTGTAGTAGTGAAGTCCCTGTAGTAGATTTTACCATCTGCACCTCCACCCCATAACATGGTGGAATTGCACTGTGAAATCATGCTACCTTTTCCATGCTTGTTTATTTTACTATTAGACTATTAATTCAGTTCACTGTCTGCCATTATTACTGTTCTTCAGCAATTACATCTGTGCCTTACTTCCAGGAAAACTGTCCTTTCTTCCTCTCATTTAGCTTTTGAAAGAAATTGGCTTTGGTTGTGTTATGCCTGTGTTGTTCCCTTCCGTAGATCACTTCCAGTAGGTAGCTAAACAAAAATCTGTGATGTTTGACTAATGGGCTTATAAATGCTGCAGAAGGGGCTAGGAGATAGCAGTGGCAACTGAAGGAGCAGTGCAGGACAGGATCACAAAAGGAAGAGTTAACAAATCACTCCTAGAACAGCATTCATCCTATTCCAGTACCGTGAGGCATCTCCTGCATTTGCACAGCAATATCCAAACCTACAGCAGGGCTTACGTTTCCAAGAATACTCACTTTGCTAACTCCCAGTTCCCCCACACATGCACCCACTCCTCAGGATCAAGGTTGGTCAACTTTTGTGCAGTATCACAATAAATCTACTGCAGTTATTAGATTCCTTTCAGTTAGCACATATTTGCTGTTATGTTTTATACTTACAAGCTATGTGTACTTTCCTAGGGGGAAAAGAGTTTAATCACTTGTTATTATGTACAGTTCACAAATTGAAGTCACTGTTTCATTTCTAATCTGAAAGGGTGAAATGCTCTTTTGCTGTTATTGTTAACTTGATCTGGTATATCATCAGTTGCTTCTGCATCCTGAAAATCTGAAATTAATCAATTACTTTTCAAGATGCTGACTGTTATCAGCAGTGTGACTGAACATGCATCGAACGCTTTAGTTATTGTTTGCTGAAATCCGATTACCACATTGTAGATACAATACTCTGGTGTAGGAGATCTTGTTCTCCTTGATGCGTCTGAATACATGTGGTTTAAAGTTTCAGACTTTGTAATCAGCTGACAATGAGTGCCTTATATTGCACCCCACCTCAGCGCTGGGTCTGGTGACTCGTAAATGCTGGGTGAGGGGCCATTCATTGTGAATAGTACCTCATAGCCAAAAATGTCTGTTAAGTTTATCGACTGGGCTGGAATGGAAAACAAAAAGCCTTGTTCCTCCTGTCATTTTAATATCTTACTGTGATATCTTGTAGGATTTCAGTGGAAGAGGTTGAGTACTAGTTATTACTAAGTATTTTTACAGATTTCTGTAAGTTTCACAAACTGAAAAATATCAGGTATTTTTTGTCACAGGCATCAGAAAAATAAATTGCGTTCTGCAGACGTTTCATTTTCCATGGTCCAGCTGTACTTGGTTAATGAACTGAAGTAACAGACCTTTGCCTTCTCTATATCAAAGTACAAGCCCAGGAGTCCATCATACTGTTATCATTTAACCATTTTATGTTATATAACCAGTTGAAAAATACAGTCTGGATGGTAGTGCAAAAATAGAAGAGCTCCTTTAAAAGTTTCAGATTTAATAAAATATGTCTGGATTGTGTGCTTCAGAGGCTTCTGCTGTCCCATTCACTTTAGGACCTATGATGGTTAATTTCTGTATTTCTATGACCTGGTTGTGAAAGCCCCCAGTCAGCTTCTCAGCAAGACAGTGATGTAGGAAGTACTCAAACGTTCCCTGACATCATTACTTGAATGCTATTAGATTTTGTGTCTTGACTGTTGTTAATTGAATTTTGTCTTGTGCAAATAACAGGTATAACAACAGAAGTTCAACTGTAGTGATAGGATTAGAAACTAGCTGACTCTTTTTCAAACTCAGGCTAAACTAAATTACCATTCATTGGAAACGCTTTGTTTATCTTCAGCTTAGTTTTTTTTTTTACTGGGCATCCATTGCCTTACCCAATAATATGAAAGAAATATACCAGAGATAATTCTCTATTTAAAAGGTAAAAGCTGTAACTTAAAGTTAGAAGTAACTTTTCTATTTTCTTTTGATTTTAGGGATGCGGAAAGGCTTGAAGAGTTTTACACCAAGAACCAACAGCTCAGAGAGCAGCAAAAGGCACTTCATGATACAATCAAGGTTCTAGAAGACAGGTGAACTAGTGTATTTTTTTTGTTATAGTTTGGGGGTTTGTTTCAGAGTAGCTCTGTATATTTTGCAGCGTTGCTTGTTTGTAAGCCAGCCCTTTTCTAATATAGGCCAGATAATGTGTTTTAAAGAAGCATAGAATTCAAATTCTTCTGAGTGAATCAAATTGTTATTTCCTACATGCTTAGCTCAGTAAAGGCAAATTGAAGTTTAACGAGTTAGCCTGGGATGCAGACAGCCACATTCTTTTTAATCTACATTTTTTGAGTTAAATTTTCTGTCAGTTATAGAATAATACAAATACAAAACCCTAGGGTAAGCTCTGTAATTTATTTTGAAACAAATGGAGTGATTCATTAAGAAATCTTTCAGTTTTGCAGGTCTGTTCTGTGTAAATTCCATCAGTTGTTCTGTCTCTTGCCGCTCTGATTCAGCCACTCTGATCACCTTTTGATCTGTTTTGCCTTTCACTTTTCCGCTTCTATTGCTGCAGCAACGGTTTGTTGTCGCAGCAACAGTTTGTTGTCATAGCAAACCAAAACCAATAGATGTGAGATTACAGTGCTTTTTTCATCCTCTTTAAAAAAAAAAAAAAACAACAACAACAACAACAAAACTGATAACTGTTCTGGAAAGTGTGCGTTTAAATTTGTTGCTAAAAGACTCTTAGTAGTTTTCTGTGAACAGATATTTCATATGAAATTATTTTCTCACATTCCCATCTTACATCAAATCTTAGAGCTGCAATACTCAAAACTTGCTTTTAACTCTGATTCTCTCTAAAATGCATTAGGCATAAACTTGTACCCAGGCAGGTATTAAACTTTCACAGCACCAAAGTAGAGAGAGAGATGTGTGTGGAAAGCAGAGTTCTCTAATCCCTTGAAAATGAAATATATACTGGAAAACAAACAAAAAAATAAATCATATTTAAAATAGTTTAATTCAGGAAGATGATAAAAGCTAGTATGAAGAGGCATCTCCAGTATTTTACTTTTTCCATTTTTCCACAATATTAAAATACTTATAAATCAAGCTTTTATTTCCAATATTAAACTGCAGAATTGGAAATTTAACTGTTTTTTCATCTGCTAACAGCAGCAAAGCACAACTCTTAGCCAACTGGTATCTTATTTAGCAGTCAAAATAATCTGTCTTTCGCTTAGATTGTTGTTGTGTGCTCAGCTTACAGATGATAACAAGTATTTTATTTCTGGTACACATTTCACTGCATAAATGAATGTGTCAGATAAAGAGTATTAAAAATTGTGTTTAATACTGATCGTAGATGAGCTTTAGACAACTAATCCAGACCAATAGAGAACATGGAGGCAATGCCTCACACAACCTTTTTGGTCCATCTCTAAGTATTTGGTGTCACGTTAAAGGTTTTCATATTTATTTGATATTTGTTTCAAGTGGAGCTGCATATTTGTCCTTTTTTATTTTACCAGTTTGGTAGTTTTGCTGTTCAAACAGTTGGATAAGTGTGGATAGCTACTTTATGTATGGTATTATTTTTATACAGTTTTATTTTCTTAATTTTACTGAAGGTTAAGAGCGGGATTATGTGATCGTTGTGCTGTAACTGAAGAACATATGAGAAAGAAACAGCTGGAGTTTGAGAACATCCGACAGCAGAATCTTAAACTCATCACTGAGCTTAGTAAGTTTTATCCATAAGTCTTCAAACAAAAGCAGTGTGTTTTATAAACTAGTACTACGTGAATTCCTATAACTTCGTGGAATGTATGTATGGTGGTTTTTGTAAGTTCAAGAAATTCTGTCAGGAGATTCAGCAGTCTGAAAATATGAACACATGGCAATTACTTGTCATTTGAACCACCTGCATGTAGATTGAAGTGCTAATGCTGCAATTGTATTGATGTGGAAAATCTTGCAATATGAGGTAGTGGAGCTAACCTGACTGCTTTTGTTTGTTCCTGGAGTCAAAGCATAAAATGACAGATAATGTGGTTTCCAAAGGCAGCCTTGACTTCAGACTAACTAGTGATCAGAAAGTAGCAAGTTCAAAAGTTGCCTGAGTCAAGCTTGTGTCCTGTGGCATTTTTGTCCATGGATCTGAGAGAGCAATTCATTCATCTTTACAACACAGGCTCACTTGTGTGCACACAGACAAGAGTAACTAATTTTGTGGAACTAATGTGTTCTTTAAGTTCTTCAGTATGAGAGTGGTGAGGTGCTGGAACAGGCTGCCCAGTGAGGCTGTGGATGCCCTGTCCCTGGAGGTGTTCAAGGCCACATTGGATGAGGTCCTGGGAGCCTGGTCTAGTATTAGATATAGAGGTTGGTGGCCCTGCATGTGGCAGGGGGGTTGGAGATTCATGATCTTTGAGGTCTCTTCCAACCTGGGCCATTCTGTGGTTCTGTAATGTGGTGATTTGCCTTTTCTAACAATCACTTTATAACACTTCTAATGGCTAACTTGAAAATTCATTTTGGTAAGGTGTAGAGGATGTGTGGTATTAAGATTTAAGAATTGATTCAGTTTCCTTAGAAGACCTGGCAAAATGATATATAACACAACGATACCGGCTGTGAATTGATTTTGTTGTTCTCTGTTAATTGCAGTGAACGAGAAAAACAGCTTGCAGGATGAAAATAAAAAGATATCTGAACAGTTCCAGCAACTGCAGAAGGAATTGGAGTAAGTTTTGAGAGTCTCTAATTTTTATTGAATCTTGATAGTAGTGTCTGGGAATATAAATGCTGACTTGTAAGTCTTTTAAACTTGAGGTTATTCCTTTCAATAGACTGTGAAAAGGTAGTCTAATGCCATTTTACATGAACAATGTAAAACTAACATCTTTGTATTACAGAACTTACACACACACACACACACACTGTACTCCAGAGCTTTCGAATGGAAAAGGTGGATAAATATCATAGAAATTCAGTTTGACTTCATGGTTGCATAATTCCATGCACTGTGCATTGTGAAGTCTTGCCTCTCATACATTTATTCCTGTATAGATTCTGTATAGTTTCCTCCTAGGATAAGATTACAGAAATGTCTTTCTTCTAATAGTCAGAGTTACAGAATATTTCAGTAAAGTTTTGAAATAAACTTTTGATAACCTTACAGTTTTAAGAAGAAAGCTGCTGATTAAAAAAAGAGCTGTAAATTAACTGTTAATCTGCACTCTGATATGATACTAAGAATGTACCATATAATGTAGTTAATAAGCAATATGGTACCCTATGCAAGGCAGAGATAGTAATTCCTTTCTTGTATGGCCACTGTCTGACATCATCCAAAATTTAGCTCAGTTTTTGCTGTCTGTGAGGAAGCTGTGTTGGCAGATGGAATGGGAGATGGGTTGTGTAGGCTTGATGTGTAAGGCTTTTTCTGCACGTAATTTTTTTCTTATCTTCATCTCAAAGTAACTTTGTTATAGGACTCAAACAACTCGGAGTTAATATCAAAAGGCCTGTGGTTCTATTCCTTTTGTATTTTTCAGTTTGTCTCCCATCTTTGCACCTTGTTCATTTCATCTCTTCAAAATAACTTAATTCATCACACTAGAAGTATTCATTTTCAAGACTGCTAGTAACACATTTCTGTTTGTCTGCTACTATATAATTCATTTTCAAGAATGTTTGATGTCTCTGGCAGTAGCTTTTTTTTTTTTTTGTGATGGCATTTAGGAACTATGTTTTGACTTGCACAGAGCTAAGATATGGGGAGAATATTTATAGCAGGCCAATTGTTTGTACAGGGCTGTGCCAGTAAATGTAATGAGTACTCCATCAGCTAACATAAATTTGTGATGCGACTAGATGAGTACATAGTTTTTCTGTATGTTCTGATTTAAGATATTGCTAGTAGATGGCACAGCATTCCAGTTGCAGTATTTTCTCAGTATATGTGCTAGGAAAGAGGAATTACAGAATCATACGATAGTATTCATCGAGGTGTCAGAGAAGAAAATGGATGAATTGATGTTTGTTGTTAAATGTTCACAGTTAGTCATGGTAAAAAGCAAAGCTTTGAAAAAATTCTCCTTCTCTCAAGCCAGACAGCTTCCAATAGTTTTTCCATCATATTATTAACTTATTTTATGTAAGCTACCACAGTTCATTTTAATGCAAGCAGAAATATATCCCTATTTCCTCTTCCTCCCCTAGATCAAAACCTTACATTTTTCTCTTTATAGTTAAGAAATTAACTTTTTGCCCATGTTTTCTCCGGAGAGTCATAAGGAAGAGCGCTACCAAAGATGACCAAGAAGGCAGGGTTAGATTTCCTTATGTTTATCTTTCACTGCTTCTTTCATTTTCTACTATCACCACTGTATTACAGGGAGCAGTGCCCTCATTGGGTACTAAACAAACTCAATTAAAGTTAAAGGAATTGGAATTAACTTTGTTTTTGCTTTCTTTCCATGGCTAGATAAGAGTTCTTGGAAAGAAAGTTCTAGTTATTAGTTAAGCAAATTTCTGTATACTGACTCTAAAATATACTGTTAGAGATGACTGTGAGAGAAAATAATGTTAGTTAACTCATGATTCACATTGCTTATATTGCTGTTATGAGTGATTTGCATTGCTTTATGTGCTTCTCTGTGAAAGCTTCTGTGAGGTGAACGAGAGGTAACATGAAATGGTCTGGAGAGGGGTTGCTTTTGGTATAATACTGTTCATTACAGTTTGAAATTGTCTGAAAGCTTCATTCTACATTGGAAGTGCTCTCTTTAAGAGTATGCATGGAATTCCACCCAGGAAGAGTACATTAGTCCATCCATTCGAACATGTTATTTAAAGAATATACTTCAATATACTTCAGAGGATGAGTCACAAATGACACAATTCTTGTTTGGTGGTTTTTGTTGGCTGGTGTTTTCTGCCTCCCTCCTTCCCCTCCCAAGGGAAACATTTTCTGTGGTGCAGTAGTAGGATGCTCACTTTTGTTGTGAAGAGCTGGGTTTGTATGCTGTTCTTGGGTTTAATGAGGCAATTGTGAATTTGTTGTTTAAAAGCTTGGTAGTAGTAGTATATATGTATTTATTTTACAATGATATTATTGAGATGTCTGTATCTGGAGTACTGCGTCCAAGTGTGGAGCCCCCAGTACAAGAAACACAGGAAACTGTTGGAGAGGGTCCAGAGGAGGGCCACAAAAATGATCAGGGGACTGGAGCACCTCCCCTGTGAGGACAGGCTGAGGGAGCTGGGCTTGTTCAGCCGGAAAAGAAGGCTGCGGGGTGACCTCATTGCAGCCTTTCAGTACCTAAAGGGAGCCTACAAAGAGGAGGGGAATCAACTCTTTGAAAGGGTAGATAACTGCAGGATGAGGGGAAATGGTTTTAAGTTGAGGGAAGGGAGATTTAGGTTGGACATTAGGGGGAAGTTCTTTACAGAGAGAGTGCTGAGGTACTGGACAGGCTGCCCAGAGAGGTTGTGGATGCCCCATCCCTGGAGGTGTTCAAGGCCAGATTGGATGGGGCCCTGGCAGCCTGGTCTAGCATTAGGTGGGAAAGTTGATGGCCCTGCATGTGGCAGGGGGGTTGGAGATTCATGATCCTTGAGGTCCCTTCCAACCCTGGCCATTCTGTGATTCTGTGATCTTCTAAATTCTTGTTATCTTAAACCATGTGGTTGTCCTGGATGCTAAAACTAAATCTTTGCGTTTTGTAAACTCAAAGATTTATTTGACCACCCTAATTTGGTCTCCAGGGAGCAAAAGCAGCAAGCAATGGATGTAGAAGAAGGTGTCATTCCAGATTCTCCAGTTCTTACTTCTTCATTTTCTATGGTTAATCGTATGAGGAGGAAAAAAGAGAATAGGCATATCCGATACACAGAGCATACGCAGCCAGATTTGGAACTGACAAAGAGCAGCCGTGGTAAGAGATGGTATTGTTTGGTTGTTTTTTTTTTTTAACTATGCTTCAAAAATTTAAAGGGTTAAATAGTGAAAGACATAAGTTTGATTGCAAAGAGTGAGAACAAAAACAACAACAAAAAAGTCTCAGTTGGTCTTCTGCCTGTTTTTTGGTTTGTAGTTTTTTTTCCTATTTATTCAATAATATATGAATGTGTATATATATGAATTTGTTGAGTGGTAAAATGGCTTTAGCAGCAACTATTATATCACAGCTCAAAGCTTGTCTTAACGTCCTACTAAATGCAGTAGTTTCCTGACCCATAAATCTGCTGTAACTCCAGACTGACCAAAAGAGTTTGACTTGTGTGTACAGCTCTATCACCACCTAGTGGAGAGTGAAACAAATATTTAGCCACTTTCTGCAATTACTCTGCACTTAAAGTAATATTTCTAAAACCCATAGATATCTTAATTCTAGTAGCTATACAATCTTTTTTTTTCTAGCCCCAATACAATCTTTGCTTTTTTGTGTGTGTGCCAAAGTCTGGAGATACTTTGCAGATTTGATTTCCAAACTTGCTTCTGTAATGTCATAGAAACAGCTGTAATGTATTTTGACCATAACAACAGATTTTGAGGTAAGGGACTTTTGGTTTGTATTCTAATGATACACAGGAAATATGATAACCAATCCAGGTGCTTTTAATGCATTAATTTATCTTCTGAAATAATAATAATTTCAAAAATATTTAGATCCAATCACACGTTTTTAAAATACAAGTCTTGACTAAAAGCTTTCCCAGAATAAAAGCAGAACAAATATGGGGGAATAGGGTGAGTTGGTTATTCCTGTCCTTTATTTTAAGCATCTGATTTTGGTGTTGTGAACAGCTAATCTTTTCTAAACATACTTCTCTCAATTTTCTGAATAAAAAACTTGAGCTATCAGATTAAAGCAAAGTTTTATATTTTTATATATAAAAGCAAAGTTTATATATATATATAAGAAATTATGTAAATGTTTGTCTTAGTTAATGGTTAAGAAAAGCAATTGGTGTCCAGGGCTACATGGCACTCAGAAGATTGGCCATTATTCATATCACAGGTTTTTTTTGCTTTTTCATTAACTTAGCTGGTGCAGAAATTAATTCTCTTTGACAATTTACTCTTTAATACTTTTGATGCTGTATTAACAAATGAGATACGATTGGATATCTACTGCTTATGCACTCAGTGTAGAAAGTGATATAGTTTTGTGTCAGTGTTATTTTATGGCTGACTAGCAGGGGGTACATTTAAGAGACAGAGAATTAACATGAAATATTAAAAATAATCAGATGTGCTTAGGTGAATGGATCTACTAACACACCAAAATTCATATTCAACTGCTGTTAGGACTAGGACGTTGGTTCTGTATCTGCACGACTGTGACACTAGGCTATGTAGTTTCATCACATGATAATGTTTATACAACTTTTCCTAGAGTTTCAAATTCCTCTGTATTCCACACAAGCGAGCAGTCATCATGAAGAAGAGATACTAGTGGCAGACACCTGTGATCCACAACTGTCCCCTGTACCAAGTAAGTTTATTAATAGTTTTAGTTCTAATTCTGTTTCAAACAAGGAAAATCTTATTACAGCTGAGGAGTTAGAAACAACTGAGGTTCAGTTTGTGATCCTTCCCTTTAAACAAAGGATCCAGAAAAAGGAAATCACGTTTAATCACAGAACTGCTTCTGAACTGCCTACCTCGACGCCGGTGGATAATGTGGTCTGCTGGCATAGCAGTAGGTATTTGAGTCAAGAAATGAAAAGAACCTCAGTGCAGCTCTTACTGTTGATTTGTTTTGGTCAACTTGTTTAATTGAGTTATGTCTGAATTTTCAACTGTAACATGAGATAAAAGACTCCAAGCATATTCTGAAGTGAGTATATAATACTTATAAGTGCGTCTATTAATTATCCCTTTGTACTTGTGAATTGATTATAAGTCTTTAAATCTTTCTCCATAAACAATTCTTTGATAAGAATTTTGTGTCCCTGATTTTTTTTTTCCTCTGAAGTATTTAACTATAAATGATCGCGAGAGTCAGTGTTGGAATTACTCATGCAGATCAGGGTTATGGATTGTGGTTCTTTTACTTTCCCATCGTATTATCACTTTGTCTCAGTTTAATAAATAAATGGAATCACATTACACTCCTGAAAGAAGGGAAACTCTCACTTCTTGGCTTTCATAATGAAAACACAAGAATAATGGAAGTGTCACCTAGGAAATAAACAACACAATCGTTTTTCTGTAAATATTCACTATTCCTGTTCTACGTGTTGTTCTCAGATTGCTTATGCCCTGGATTGGGAGTTTGAAATATAACTTCTGCATAGATTTGTATTTTAATTTTGGGGAATTTTATACAACAGGAATTATATGTTTCTGTGATAGTACAGTAGTTTACTCTCATTAGAAATTCTTCTTTCCCTTTGCTCCAGTCATTGCTTCCATATGTGATTCTATCTGATACAGGTCAAACTATTTCCATAATAATTGGATTTCAGTTTGTGATACTATTTTGTTTTAGATTGGAGTTTGTATCCCTTATGTAAGTAGATTAAGATAATATGTATGTAATTTAGTAAGTGAATTTCTTTATATTCATAAAGATAAACCAAGAATGGGAGGTTATCCTGTTCCAAAGCCATCTTTTAACTTGGCTGCGGTTGTTGCAGAAACAATTGGACTTGCTGTTCAGGATGAATCCGTAAGTGTTACTCACAGATTTCTCACATAATCAACTTTTTTGCCAGTTGTTTTGGAAAGCAGTGTTTTTCAATTTGGTATTAAAATTCTGCAGAACTTATTTAAAGTTCCAGTAAGCTCACTCTAGCTTACTTTTTCTGACGTAATAAAGGATTTCAATAGCAAGAGGGGAGATAAATGAGCTGACTTGTCTGCACACAGTGGAGGCAGGAAGGCCATGGTTCTTGTTATGAACACATATTTCAAGTTTGACTAAGGTAGCAGCATAAATCTTAGGATCTGCTTGTGCAGTAATCAAGTCATAACACACTGAAAAAGCTTACTTGGTGATGAGGTTCTTGATGTATTCGATGTTTTTGCTTTGTAAGTACAATGAAGATGATAGTAATTTTTTCCTTTTAAGTAGAAATAGTACCTGTGTTTGTATGTATATATCTGAAGGAATTTTTAAGTTTCCATAAGATTTCCTTAAAAGCTGCTGGTGAAAAGTTCATCTTTCTTTTGTTACTTTTCAGAGTGAATGGTCATATTTGAATGGGGCTTTGGAGTATTTATATGTAAATCTAGCATGCTTATAAACTTTAACAGCTTTTAACATTTTCATTCTTTGTTTTACTTCATTACTTGCAAGGAGTCTCAGAGTGTACTGAGTTCTCCCCACACTAGTGCTGCTATGAACCAGGCTCCAGAGGGCATACATTCTGAAGACTCGAGAAAACATTCAGCTTCTGAATCAAGAAATGAAGACAACAGTTTAGGGTGTGTTTCCACTTGTTAAAATAATGTTGTTTTAAACAGTGTCTTCCTTTAAAGGTACAGACACAGAAATGAAAGTAGTTTTATATTGTACTATTTTCTTTGATGTAAGTCACCGCTAGAAGAAAAGGAACTGATAAAATGCAAAGCTATGGACTTCTACTTCCCTTTCAGAGTTGTGACGTGTGAGCTTTTGATGTATGTAGTCCTTTCCTAAATGACTTTTTATGTTTTATTGATCACAAGTGAAAACCAGAGCAGTTCCACAAACCAAAAAAACAAAACCAAAAAAACATGAGAAACCAAAAACGAAACTTGCACGCTTTTCCTTCATTTGCAGAAGCTTTGAGATTCTGTTGTCATAGTTATAGAATCTGTTCAAGAGCCTACATAGGTTATTTTCTCAACCCTTCCCACTTTCTACCATTTCACAGCACTTAAAGGTAGGCAGTCCTTCAGTAGGAGAGATTCCTTCCCAGACCAAAAGTTTCTCTGTTCTTTTTTTCCTGTTTTTAGTTCATTTTAGTTAGTATTCTGACAGCTTCTTGCAGATCATTAATGAGAAATGTTTAGGTTTTTTTCCACTTTCTTTTCCCAGACACCAAAGCATGATTTAACCTCTCAATGTATTCAGTCTTTCAGGTCCATCTCAAAACACTCCACCACGTGTTGACTGGGATTCTCAAGTAGTTTCTCCTGTTTTCGGAGCTTCTAGCAATACGCGGAACAATTCAAGTACAAGTCATGCATCTTGTATTTTAGATTCTGACTTGAAGCCTAATGTCAAAATCAACCTCTTCAACAATCCTTCCGGTTCCAGATCTCATAAAAATAGGTCAAAATCTGAAGATGTTGCTTTTGTCGCACCACTGAATCTTGGAACTGAAATCAATTCAGTTATCAGCCAGGTCTCTAGCAACAGGCAAATGGTTTTGAAAAACAATAGTAATGAGGTTGTAACTTCTGTTGGAAACACCTGTGCAGCTAAAAATGAGGTGATCAAGAGCGATTTCCTTCTCATACACCAGAAGCAGCCAGAGGGACGGGGTGCTAAGAGAAAGATAGCTGAAGATGAGCATGTAATTAGCTGTGAAAATGCATCCTTCAACAAAGAGAACTCTGCACCCTTTCGATCAGATATTCAGCATGTTAATGGGGAACACACAGGTGATAAGCCCTTGGATCTGTCTGACCGCTTCTGTGGAGTTCGTTGTCAAGAGAAAAAACAAGGAAGTGAGGAGACCTGTAAGAATAAACTGAAGCAGGTGACTCTGTATGACGTTTTTTTGCAACTAGGGAAGCCCATTCATGAGGGTTCATCGTCAGTTCAGAATGCCAACAATGAGAGGAGCTTGTTTGGCAGAGATATGCAAGGGGAACCCTATGTACAAGAGGCAGTGCTGGCAAAAACATTTGCAGATACAAAAAAACAGATCCAAATGAAAGAAGAAGTCCCTCCCTTAAAAATAGCACCATTGCCAAGTACTGTAGACACAGAGCAACTTTTTAATGATGTGAAGGTATGTTTTTTCTCAGTTTTTCTTCTCTTGAAATGCCAGATTTAAGTCTTGGGAAACAATAAAATTGCAATATGTTGTTAGGTTGCCAGTGACCATGTACCAAACAGAAAGAAAACAAGGACAGGGCATGGAGAGTCTGAACCAGCGTCTGTACTTCAACCAAACCCTTGTAGACTATCAAAAAATAAAGTACTGCCAAATGAGCAAGGTAACTTAAAGAAATTGTTCATTTTAGTGCCTTATCCTCGTAGTTTATGCTACACATGAATAGAATTCTTTATATCCTGTCTTATCCCACATTATCACTTTTCTGCTTTATATTTAGTCTCTTTCTCTTCTATGCTTCTCAAGATCACATTTAGATTTTCAGTTATAATCTGCTGTATTTCATTAGGCTTTCCTTTAGTAGTATCTCCCTGTATTCTTTTGCCTCTATATAATATATCATTGGCATTCAGCTGGAAACTCAACAAATAATGAATGATCTTATCTCATTTATTTAGCATTTTTTTCTGCACAGTGCCTTGCTGCAGCATGTGAATTACAGACAGTTTAAACTCAAGTTTCCTGAAATTCTATTTCACTGTCTACGTCAAATGCTTGAAAACTGTTTTCAAGTGTAAAAAATAAGCCATTTCATTAATGCCTTATGATCTACTAGAGAAACAGATTCCATGAAATACTTTCCGTGGAAGTTGTATATTTTTTCCTGTAGGTGATCCCAGATTAATTTTTTTTTATTTTAATAACTGGGATTGTAGTATTACCTATATTCCTTAGTTATGCTGTTGCACTGCATACTTGATGTAGAAATACTTAAAAGTTTACATTATAAGTTTTTTTTTAAAAAAAAAAAAGAGTGGTTGGTGTTGCTGTGTAGCTTGAAGTCTAAACTTCTAGTTCACAGCTGCACTGGGAGCCATCCCTAGAACAATGACCAGACACTACTATACTCTTGTGTCCTAAGAATTAACTGGTATATTTTTACTAATCTAATGTCTTCTGTGCAATTTTAACATTACTTGGTTTGAATGAGACAGATTCTTATCAGCAAGAGTAGTTATGTATTAAATACCTTGTAGAAATGTGTAGGCATGGTGTGCTCCCTGAATATGGCAAAAAAACCCCCACCAAAATAACAAACCTTGAAATGTTTTGTTTGAAGATTCAGAAATACATGATTTATGTTTGTTGTATTTATTATTTGAGAAAAGTCAATCCTCTTAAAACCAAAGGTGAAAAGAAATTGAACTTAAATTTTACATATCAGATGCTACTTACAGAATTTGATTCTGATTTGTCTTTTTTTGTCATATTCTCTATATCCAGACCTGAAAGAAAAACCTTTAGAAAACCTTCAGTGGAGCATAGACCCAGGAGCTGACCTTGCACAGTACAAAATGGACGTAACTGTGATTGATACAAAGGTGAGCCATCACTTTGCAACAGGTTGGCATGTTCCATAACGTTAGAAGAAAAGCCTTTAGAAGTCACCTCATGAACTTTTTTCCAGGCAGACCAAACCTACTTGCTAACTAAAATCAATTTCACTCACTTGATGCTTTTTCACATTCCTATATAATGTTTGTTTATTCACAGCATAGTTCAATTATCCTGTAACATTTCAGCTGTCTTGTATTTGATCAACTTTGCCATGTGGGTTTTCAGGATGAAACGGATGGACTTGATGGTATCTTGGGGTTTTGTTGAAAACAAGAATGTTTTAAATCTCATGATTTTTCCTGTGTGAGCATTCATGAAGACATCTCTCTTTGTTAAGTAATGGAAGATGTGCAGATCATGACAATTATTCTTCTTATGTTTGGGTACAGGTTCCCTACTAGAAATTAGAAATTGCCTATGAGAATTTTCCTGAAATTTGTTGGCTTTCTCTCTAATAAGATCTATCTTAATGTGTTTTGAATTGAGACTGACTGCTTTTGAATTTCTGTATGATTAATTTTTCTCTTTGCAGAATTTTAACATGAAAACTTTAAGGAATTTCTTGTCTAGCAGATAATGTAATTCACCAGATAAATGTCCAAATATTTCCCAGGAACAGTGACAAAATGGTTTTGGATATATATAATAGCAATATTGATTACACCAATTGTTTCTGAGTGTAATTGTCCAATTTCCTTTTTTATTCAGGATGATTCTCAGTCAAGAATTGGAGGGGAAGTTGTTGATATGGATTATACATACGTTAGTGAAAGTGTGCTTCTGAAAATGAAAAATCAAGAGCAAACCCAGGAAAGCAGTCCAAGTAAGACTTCTTTTTCCCCTCTTTGGATTTATTTATTTATTATTATTTATTTTTTGGGGGGGGAGGAGAAAACAAAGGATAGTTTTTTCCCATATGTGATTAGACAATATAAATTGGCAAAAAACACGTATTTTTTTGCAGTTATAAAGATCAGCCTGTCTGCTAGTACAATGGATGGAGATTGTTTCTTTATTTAAACTTAAATGGTTTAAACAAGGTTTGTTGTGAGACAAAGCCAGAACTGTGCTTTCACAGTGCTTAAGAAGTTAAATACTTTTTTTTTCTCCATGTTCTAGCCTCTAATGAGCACACCTGCAACTAGGTGCTTTGAAAAACTGATAGGTAATCATATCAGACTTTCTATGGAAGACCAATCTCATTTTTAATAGCATATAATTAGAACTAGTGTAGTTAAAATGAATCCAGATGTGTTTATATCACATTTAACATATGTGGTGAACTGTGGTTGCAGGGCCACGACTTCCAACAGTGATTGCATTCTGGTTTTTGCTTTGAGTGTGGTGGTGGTCATTTTCTATTGTTTTTTTTTTAGTTCTTTTGTTGTTTTTTGTTTGTTTGGGGATGTTTGCTACTGTTGCTTTATTTTTGTTTCAAGATTTTGCAGCTTGATCACATTTCTGTAGTTTGTTTCCTATACAAAGAAAAGTATTTCCTTCTGCTTGCAAGAGTCCGTTATTGCAACAACCAAAATCTTATGCACGTACTGTTGAAGTTTAAAGGTATATCAAAGTGATTCAGCAGTTAATCAAAGTTTAAAAATAAAAACAAGATATCTTTGTGAAAAATATGAGCGTTGTTCACATTCTAAAGGTCACTGGATTAGTTTTCAGAAAGAATAGACGTACTGTTAATGAGTTAATCAGTACTAGAGCTGGAAGTAGGTGTCAGTTCTTAATATACATTCAGTCAAAGCATGCCTTCTTTACTTAAATTGTTGAGAGAGATTTGGAATGTTCATTCCTTGAGTGTGTTTTTTTGTTTGTTTTTTCCAGTTATAGTAAGAGAAAAAAAAATGAATGATACCATAACAGAAATGTTTGATCGGACAGCTGATGGAGAATATGAATCATGCCTACCAGAAGATAGTCTTTCTGCATGCGATGAAAAAGAAACTGTGCATGGTGAAGAGCAGGACAAAGGAATAACAGTAGCAAGCAAGAAACCAAAGAGTGAGAGAGAGAGATATTTTTTTTCTTTCTTCGTTCGTGTGGTCAGACTGCAGAAGTTGGAGTCAGGGTCTGTTCCATAGGAACAAATACGCCAAATAAACTATGAGTTCATTGTTCATAAGTTCATGGGATAATTTATTCATTGAATGACATAATATAAACAGATATGAAAATTGTTCTGTTGGTTCATTTATATTACATGCATACAAATATGGAGCTGTAATGGAAGTTGACATGGAAGCTGTACAACAGAGTCACTCCTAAGGAAAACACACCAGTTTTTGGCTGTAGGTTAGGACTGTGATTTACTTGATTTCTGTGTTCCCCAGTTATATTGAGATTTGTCAATATTTTGTATTTTAAGTAACCTTTCCGGTCCTATTCTGCTCATCTTATCTCACTGCTCTTTTTCTTCTTCCCTCCTAATGCTTTGCAATCACTGATCAACCAATTCTGTATTATTTTTACTTTCTATTTGTATCTTCTACCTCAGAGCAGCATGAACATGGCTTTTTTTGTATCTAATAGCCCACTAATCATTTCAGAGACGTTTCTGCAGGCAGTCTTTTAACCTTGTGTGACATGTGACTTTTTGTTCTGTGTGTTTACAGAACATGAGGATAAACAAGATAAAGCCAAACAGAAAGCTTTTGTGGAGCCATATTTCAAAAGCGATGAAAGGTAATTTGCCTAATATAAATAGTAATAAAAGTAGTTTGTTTAACATAGGTATTCTAAGGGTATTTCCTCCTTGAAGAGAACTTGTTCTGCCATAAAGCAAACCTGTTCATTTGCAACTTATTAGCAGCTGAAGATGCACAGGTAAAAAAGATGCTGTGAATTAGATAAAAGCTGAAGTAGACCGGGGGGGGGGGGAAGAACACATATTAAGGTATATCAGTCACATTTGTTGCAAAGTAAGGAATGATGTTTCTGCTTTTTATAATCCTGTTGAATGAAGTATTTTGTAATCCATGCGGTTTCATATGGGCATGTAGCCATGCATGAGTTTATCGTCAAAGAGCTGATGGGTCGCTTATATAAATAAGAAAAAAGTTGTTATCTTTGGTGGCTTTTTTTCCCTTCCTCTAAGCAATAAATGAGGGATGCAAAATAACCGTATGCCTTAGGACTTCCTCTGTTGCTTTTATGCCTGATCATCATTGATAGTCTGGGTCTTCATTTCATAATGATACCAAGCCCTTCACTTAAATAATTACTGTCTTTTTTTTTAACATTGGCCTATTTCCTTTGTAGAGGAAAATCTGTTTAGTGTTTTGTGGTTTCAAAAAAAGAGCACGTTAGTTGTAAAAAATCTTAGTGTTTTAATAGCAGCATGACATTCCTCCTGCAGATATCAGTGTGGGAACTCCTGAGTCCCAAAATGTTCTTCAGAACTCATATTTTTGAGTAATTCAGATCAACTCACTTTCCTATGATGAAAAGTCATAAACACCTGACATGCGTATGTGTGGGGGTTTCTTTTAAGGATTTTATTGTATTTTAAAAACTCTGGAACTGTTTTAATTACAAAAGTAATCATATTCAAATATGAAATGTAGTATGTTTTGTAGATGCTGTGACTTTTTTTTTTTGAAGCTATCCATTATTTTATCCTAAAAAAAAAAAAAAAAAAGAAAATTCTCAGACATATAGAGGAAATAAATGCTCTATCATATGAAAACACTTTTGCTTTTCAGAAAGAATACTATGTTAGATTTTCCTCATATTGAGGTGATTCGAAAGAAAGAAGAAAGAAGAAAATTGCCTGGCCATACTTGTAAGGAATGTGAAATCGTAAGTAGTGTTGGTAGTTTTGGTCTTCTAGTTCTTGTACTATTTACATTCTGAAGTGCTGTTGAAATGGAGTCTGGTCACATCATCTTCAGTATACACAGGAGCCAAGAGTTGTTTACCAAAGCTGTTTACAAAAGTTACTTTTTTTTTTTTTTTAAATCTGTAGTAACCACATGTAACCTTTTTTTCTTTTTTCTATGCCTGTATGAAGGTAAAAAGCCTCTGGCAGCATGATTCCAATGTGGTTTTTGTTAATAAAAGAAGTGTTAGCTAATCAAAGAATTTTAAGTTTCTAAACTTTAGTTCTAAACTCTACTGTTATACACGGGTACTTGAATAAGTATGTTTTGTTTCCTGTTGTACCTCTGTCTCTTGTTTGTTTCTTTTTTTGAGACATCTGTATTTTCAGATTGTTACACCAACAAATGCACTAATGTAAATGTATATTACAAATGTACACAAAAATTTATATTACCAGGAGCAACGTATGGGATTTTAGGCTTCTTCATTACAAGTTTTTCTTTCCTTTAAAATTACTGAATGGCTTACATATAATTTGAAGAAAGATAAAATATTGACATAGTTATATGTATAGTAAGGACATATTTAATTTGATTGAGTAGGCTGAGTTAATTAGGCAATGATCTAATAAGTAAATGTGCCAGGATTGTTGAGTAATGGCTGAATAATGATGGATTATCTCAGAAGTCTTTTCATGTAATTTCCACACAAATATGTATTGGTATGGAACCACTGCTGTTCATAGATTCTGCTGCTGGGCATTCTATAGCTAAATTGCATCTACTTAGCTGAAAAAATTTATTGGACTATATTTTGGTCAAAAACATGTTCCTGAAAAATATCCTTCATAAAACTCAATTAAAATAATTTTTACAGTCAACTATAAATACCACTTTCAAAAATGTGCTTAATTCAGACAGTTTGAAGGAAAATGGGATGTTGAAGGGAAGGAAAGAAAAACCAAAACCTTCAGTCTATTTCGTGGCCCAGAAGCTGCATGCTAACTTTCAATTTCCTGCATCTGTAAGCTATGGATCAGTCAATCCAGTTCGTTACTTCTTGGCAACTTAATTAGAGCAGTAATTCTGGAAACATTAACAGCCTTGGTTTTTACAGTATTAGATCTCCACATTAAACTTTTAAAAATATATATAGATTTTTGTTTTTAAAGTCCAGGCCATTCAAGATGAATGTCATAGAATGCATGGAATGCTTGGCTACAGCATTGCAACATGCATGATAAAGCTAGCTTTCAATGAAATGCCTATGGAAAAAAAGGAGTATTAGACAAAGCATAAATAATACTTTAAAAAGTCTTGGCTTATTAGTCAGAAGATTTTGAAAAGTTTCCTAAGTCTGAGAAAATGCTTAGGGTGTGGGTTGAAATCAGTAAATAGTTTCTGGCTGAGTGCTTCAGGCAGTATCAGGGGGGATGCCTGTTCATTGTGAGCTGATGTGAGAGATCTGACTTCTGCACGTGCTCCAGCAAACTGAAATTAAAGTCCTTTATATTCTGGTCATAAGAGTGTTTCAAAGATCTCACCCATCTCACAATGTAAAATGTGGTAAGATGTCTTCTGTTACGATGACTTTGCAATGAGATCAAAGAAAGAGTTTGTAAAATAAAATGCTTGTTAGTGTGATTCAGTCTCACTACACTTCAAGTAGGATAATCAAAGTCGGTGTTTTTATATACATTTAGATTAGAGAACTGACTAGGCAACTGTGCTAAACTAACAGGAAGAGCATTTGAAAGATTTGTTCTTTTAAGACTGCAAATAAAAGTTCTGTAAACAGTTATGTTATGATGAATGTACTGCAGGTGTATCTTTTCCCACATAGGAAAACCTAGCTGCAGTGTTCTGTGGGGCTTGAGGATGCTGTGGATATCTCCATCTAGAAGACAGCTGAGTTATTTTTTCTTAATAGCAGCCATGTGTCACTTTTTCAGTCTTGACCAACCCAAAGCATTTCTAAACAAGCTAAAATAAAGAAGCTACTTTTAATTTCTTTGGATTGATAAACTTGATTGATTTGGGTTTTTTTTTTTAGTTCTCTGTTCCTCCAAAATTGCACAGTATTTATCATTGTTTGATACATAAGTACTCCCCACCAGTCATAATCTGTTTAGCCCCTCCACCAAAATGCAATACACTGCAGATTTTCAGTAGTACTTTCTAAAGTTCCAACTCTTTAAAGGACAAATATAATATGTACTACTTATCCTTAAAAAAAAAAACTCAGCTAATAATCACACAGATACTGTAGAATTTTTATAATTAATTTTGTGGACTCTAACTCCACATCATTTCTTAATAAAATAAAAAGTTTATTAGTGTATACTGATATATGTACTAGATGCCCGTTCCTCTTCTTTCATTAGTCTCTACATCTGTAACGCAGTGACAGAAAGTTTTCCAGCTGGGTCCCTGAAGACCACTTGATCTGACTCAATCCCTGAGCTGTTGATACCCACTCGAATTCTGGCGTTGGCCATAGGCTTTTTGCTTTGAAGGGAACCGTGGATAAGACAGTAGCAAACTAAATTTCTCCAGATTCAGGCAATGAAAGGAGTTTTGCTGTTAGCAGTTTGGAAACAGGAGGATTTTTGTGTGTACTTTATGGTTTGCGTGCTATCTGTTAGGAAAAAAGGAATTCATCTGTGTACTTTACTGTTCTAAATAAGTAGATTTTTTTGAAATGCTGCCGTTAGATGGAGACAGGAAGTAAAGTAACCTCTATTGACAGAAATATTCTGTTCTTTTCCTGTTTCCCACTCTAGATTACTTTCTAGATGACTTAATGAGGTTTTAATTCTGCATTTTTTAAATTATAATTTTGATGAAATTGTTTTACCACATTTATGAGGGCCAGGCTCTTGTGCAATCCAAACTTAGTGTTTCCGCTTGAATCGTATAATGCTTTCAGCTTTGAAAATGCTGTAGTACCTTGTGATAGCTAAGTGCCCAATTGCTGTTTTAGGAGATGTTAAACTAGAATCACAAGTTAAAGCACTAGAAAACTAATGTTTGTTTTCCTTATACTTAAGGGAACATGCAGCAAAGAAGCTTGGAGGATGTGTGTACTTTTCGCAGTGCAGTCTCTAGCACAGGGACTACTTGTACTACTTATTTAAACAAAGTACAACTGTTAAGTAGTTTCTGGAGTCTCAGTGGTCTATCAGTGTGTTAAACTAGCTGTTTCACAGAATCACAAAATGGCCTGGGTTGAAAAGGACCACAATGATCATCTACTTTCAACCCCCCTGCTATGTGCAGGGTCGCCAACCAGCAGACCAGGCTGCCCAGAGCCACATCCAGCCTGGCCTTGAATGCCTCCAGGGATGGGGCATCCACAACCTCATTGGGCAACCTGTTCCAATGTGTCACCACCCTCTGTGTGAAAAACTGCCTCCTAATATCTAAACTAAACCTCCCCTGTCTCAGTTTAAAGCCATTCCCCCTTGTCCTATCACTGTCCACCTTTGTAAACAGCTGTTCCCCCTCCTGTTTATATTCTCCCTTCCAGTACTGGAAGGTCACAATGAGATCTCCCCACAGCCTTCTCCAAGCTAGATAAGCCCAGTTCCCTCAACCTTTCCTCATAGGAGAGGTGATCGAGCCCTCTATTTATGTGTTCCTAGTTTGAAGATAATAAAGCTGGAAGGATTTTGACCTAAGTTTGTTGTAAGCTCTAAATTTAGATTCTGGAAATAATTTTGAAGCATGAATTTTGTAGCGTGATGTTTACTTTTTTTATTTGTAAATGCAAATTGAAACTTTTGTTTACTAGGAAACTCATATCTACCTTGACACCTGTGCCAGTTTCATGAGATCAGCCAGTAAAACTGTTGACATAAGTAATTATACACACTGCTAAACCTTTTACCTGTGGTATGCTAAAAGATATAAAGCTAACAAATGTGCCACTGTAAGGCTATGCTTAATCTGTAAGTTCTGTAAACTTCTAGGATAACGGCCAGATATTTGTCATTTGGATGACAAATCTTTACTCTTGACTATCCTCACCATTACTTCTAGATAACTGTGTTAATAAACACGCGTTGACAATGTCACTGTGTAGAGCAGTTTCTCTATACATAATAAATCTGTTAACTTGGAATTTTTTTTATTTCACATACAGTATTATGCAGATATTCCAGAAGAGGAGAGAGAAAAGAAGCTAGCTGCCTGTTCAAGACACAGATTTCGTTACATTCCACCAAATACACCTGAAAATTTCTGGGAGGTTGGATTTCCTTCCACTCAAACTTGTATGGAAAGAGGTTAGTGCAAAAAATGATTCATAAATCCAGGAAACCATTTTTAGGAAAAAAAAAAAAAAAAAAAGGACATTAAAAAATGCTTTGTTTCTAGTCTGTCAGGCAGCCTTTTTCACCTAGCCTTTCTGAGATCCTTTTACTTAATAGTAACCATTATTTTGAATGAATATTGTCTTTTTTTTAGCAGCTGCTGTACTACTAGGAAGAATTAAATATAGAGAAACTTTGTCATAAACTAGATAGAGAAGGCTGAAGTAAATAGTGTTGTCACAGAATTTGGCTGAAACCCTACTTGTCTTTCAACCAAAGCAAGAACTCAGCATTTCAGAGGCAAAGGCTGAGAGATTGTACTCGCTGAGGACAGACAGGCAGCACCACTGATCTACTTTGTCTGTGTCTTGGGAGTTCCTTATAACAAAACAAAAATGGAAAAGTTGAGGGTCAGATGTGTATAGGTAGTTCTTAATACACATTCCCTGTTTATCAGTGAAACTCAAAAGCTGTTTTTCTGACTTCACGCAGAAGATTGTTCTTTCTAAATAACTTCTCTAAGTCCTGAATGTTGATACAAGAACTAGTTTTTACTAAGGACTTAGGTTTTAAAGTTTGTATTGTACTGTATGTACGTTTCTTCACAGCGGTGAAACTATGAGATAAGGAGTCCTGTATGAACTCTTTGCAACTAATATGAATTAAGTAACTCAAAATGTTAATCTGATTTTGTCTGTTTTCAACAGTTTCAGAGCAGGTGTAGGAAAACAGCTAGGGATATGAATGTGTTTGTGTGTGGTTGTTACCATATCATACTTAATCTGTCAGAACAAATAGCATTGATTTTTCAGATCCTTAAGATAACTTCAGTACAAATCAAACTGCTTAATCAAGATGTACTGAGCTGAGTTCATAGAAATTCAGCTTCAAATTCATAAGGAATGTGTGCATTTCAAGCATAACATTCGGAACTGTAAGTTTCCCTGTATATCATGGGTGTCAAATGTGAGATTTCCCTTTGAAGTTTTAGTCAGGTTCCCCTTTCTTAAAGATCTGCTATGAGACGTTAAGCTAGTTACCAAATTTGCCAGCCATTAGGCTTCTGGAAAATGTTCTGTCCTTTTCCCATAAAATTTGTCTCTGTTACTGTGTATGGTACAGTGAATCCTTCAGTCCAGCCAGACTGTACCACAGTAACGCTGCTGAATCACCACTTCCTTTGTAAGTTAGCTCTTTCCTCCTTCCTGTATCCAGTTAGCTATGGCTTGGCTGTGGCTAAATCATTCCTTCTATACCTTAGTTTATGAGAGAGGCTCTACAGTGGTGAGAATTCTTCCATGCTTTGAGATAATTATCTTTTTAAGATGAACAAATCATTGTCCTTCCTCTTCCAACCTTGGTTGCCTTTTACCCAATCCAACTGAGGAGAAAGCTGATCCTGACTAAGCAATGTCCATTTTATAACACAGGTGATAAGATATCCTGTTACAGAGGTTGTCTATTACTACTCATGTAGAATCTACTTGCACTCCTGTTTCTTAGATTCTTAGCAATCTCCTAGCTAGGGCAAGAGCTGGTCAGTTGTTAATGGTCCTCAACAGCATGAAAAAGGCAGACTTCAGATCTGTCCTTCCTTTATAAAAGCGACGGTGCAGCAGGAACACTGGGAAGGGTTCCAGTGATGATGAACAACTGTAATTATCAGAAGTTGTGCATGTATATAGGATGTATTTTTCTATTTCTTCCTGGTATCTTGAACCAATTGGATTTTTTAAAATAACTGAGGACTGTATAGAAAGCGTTTTCCAACTATGAAGTAGGAATCTACTACTCTCACCTCAACAGATGTTACTGCTGATAAACAGTAAAGGTTTGACACAAGCCAGATGCTGTAACTGGTTTGCATGAAGTGCCTGCTTACTGTCATTGCTAGCGAAGTTGAGCGTGTTACAGAAATTTCCTATGCACTTTCCTTATCAGAAAGCTGTCAAAGTGTGTTTGATCTGTAGGTTTGGCTTTTTCCAGTTAGTCTTTAATAAAAGGGAATGCTCTCAAAACAGAGGGATGTACTCTAAATTCACAAAACACATGTGCCTAAATTTTTCCTGCATATGACTGGAATACATTTTAAGAAGTTAATTTTGTCAGACAGCTGAACTTGCAGTACTAACATACTTTGTTACTCCTATGTAAAATCTTCTGCAGAAAAGATGATGAGAAATGCAATTTTGTATTTAGATGAACAGTTCATAGCCTCCGTTCTTCTCTTTAGTCTTACCTGTCAGTCCTGCATTACTGTGTGGTCACCCATCAGAATGCAATTGAGTGTTTTCATTAACGATACAGCACCCTGGGATCTGTAACTTTTTGTCAAGGGAGGGAGGGGGGAAATAGTCAGAAAATTTTTTTTGAGGGTAAGCAAAAAAGGAAGCTGAAGCTATGCATGTTGTTGTATTATATCTATCACTTCAGATTTGTTCTTATTCTTTTAAGGGTATATTAAAGAGGATGTCGCACCCTGCCAACGTCCAAAAAGACGACAGCCATATGCTGTAATGTTCTCTCCAAAAGGCAAAGAGCAGAAGACATAAATGATGGGGAAGTAAAGCATACCAACCTGAAGAGCGTCTTTCCTGTCCTTAGATATTTATAGTTAATATAAACTTGAAATAGAGACCTGTTTTTCACAATGATAAATCATTTCGTTAAATATGTAAATTTTATAAAAACTCATTTGAAAATCTGAAGTATCTACCAGGAAACCAAACTATTTAATGTATGTTTGTTTCATATTGTGTTTAATACATTTTGTATTATTTTTTTGCACCTGTCAAACAATGAGTCTTTTTCTTTTCTTTGAAGTCAACTGCTACAACTTCAGCAAATCCCATCTAATCTTTTTGTTGTTGAGTAACTTCTTTGAAGTCACTGAGATCACAGTTCTTCTTGCAAGGTCTAAGTGCCTGTCAGTGGGAACAGAGATGCAGATTTTGTAGGGTGCTTCCATTTTGCACTGGATTTTTATATATAAACTTTTTCTTCTAGAGATAAGTTTTACCTTCTTGTAATAAAAGCGTATTAAATTGAAGAGGTATCTACTGTTAATAGTTTTGGAGCTCTAAAAACCTGTACAGTCTTTTTCTTTCTTAAAATGATGGTTAAATCTATAGCGCTGCATTTCTTCACGGCTTAAATTAGAATATCCAGTTTGTCTTTGTTTTGTTTTATTTTAAATTACACTGTCTCATTTATTGATAAGGAGGTAAACAGTCATACTTCTAAAGTTGTATAACAGCTATGTATTGAGTTCTCTTAGACAATGACCACTGCCATCCACTAGATTATGAAGGATTCTCGAGAGGTATTTTAAATTAATTCTTTGTAGTGGGGAGTATAGTTAATTCCATACTTATGTTTGGAGGGTAAGAACAGAATGAAGGAGGCCAGATAATATTTTACCTAGGTGGACAGGCAAAAGATCACTTAACAATGGGATACTTAAGAATTGCATAGCATTTTAGGATAGAATATAAATTTTCAAGCAGTTTAGAGCTAGCAACAGGCTCAACCAATGGGAAATCTCTTTAAGAGGAGATTGTAAAATAAGCAACTACTTAAATGACTTAAACCAAAATGAAAGAATAGAAAGTAGAGATTTTTTTTTATAAGTATATAAAGTGAAGATACATATATATATATATATATATATATATATACATATATACACATGTATTATATAAAGTACAGTGTGTAAATATGTGCATCTTCCCATTTGTGTAGTTTGTCTATGTAGATGTGTGTGTTTGTGTTTATGTAAAGAAAATACATGTTCAAGTACTTGGCAGATAGAAGTATTATTCCAGGTGCAGTTATACAGGAGTGACTGTAAGTTCTGCTGGTGGGGAGGTTATGGCATATGCATAAAAACAAAACTAAAAGAAAATTAGACTAACTTGCAGTAATGAGCACAAAAATCTTTTAAGTTGACACTGTAAGCCTCGCGTAGGAAGGATAGTGTATCTCCAGGCACTGTCACCAATTACCTACCCTGCTTAGCTGATTAACTTTTGCCTTAGCATCGCAAAGGGAGATCTTACTGCATGGCAAAGGCAGAAAGCCAAATAATAATGAAAATCTGTAGTTATTCCCATGTATCCTAAGTGTGATGACAATAGATGTTTATACAATGTAGTGGTTTAAGAATCCATGACTAGGTGAATCTAACATTCTGAAAAATTTGAATACATGGAAGAAAATTGGTAGGTGCAGCCAAAATTAGGAATTTTCCAGATATCTTGAAAAATGTTTTAGAACAATGATTTTGTTCTCTGAGTAAATGTTTATCAGTCTTTTTATATTTAAAGAAAAAAAGAAGTTCTTTGACAAAGAAAGTTAGGGAGGGAGGCTGCTTTTTAACTAGAGAGAGCCTTCACAAAGAAGTTGTATCAACAACAAACATAGGGACTAACACAGCCAGTGTAAAATTTATTGTAAAGTAGGCTGCATGAGAAAGTAGTTTCTTAACTATAGAACTTGTTTTTAGGAGTGTCAGAGAGCAAGCCTTACAGTGTGCTGTTAAATAATCAAACTATAGTGTGAACATTTGAGTTGACAAGAAAAAAATCTTCTGCACTGATGTTCGGTATGGAAGTGCTTAAGGAAATGTCTTTGCAGGAAGAGTTAGAGGAGATGTGGTGAAGTGAGGTAGTAGAAAAGGGTGATGCAGTGAGTGTCAGCAGGCTGCCAGGACTGGGGGTACTCCCACAGATTCAGAAGTCAGAGGAAACTGCTGACCCCCTAATTGTAACATGGAATTTGTCAGTTCTAAGCAATTCTGCTATTTGGGGAGTATACAGTGACAATTCTGCCATTGGATTTTTAAAAAGAATTCAAGGAGATCAGTGGAGCAGCCAACTGATTAGTTTTATGGAGTAGAAATACTGAACTTAAATGGAGGAAAAAAACAAAACAAAAAAAAAACACAACCTAATGAAAGCTATGCATAAACACAGAGTCAACTTGTCTTTGAAAGATGAGTCATTCTCCGTGTCTTTTAGACTCATTTAAAGTATCAAAACAAGGTTCAGCTCCTACCAGATCCAATTTGTCAGGATATAAAAGGGAAAGTTATCTCATAGATTGTCCCTGTTTGAAGGTATATCAAGTCACCGCAGCCATAGGAAGTTATAACAGAATTCTGCTGGGATCTGTTATGTTCAGTCTAATAGTGTTTGAGAAGGGATGGAAGGCAAAGTAGAAAGTTGACAGTTTGCTGTCAGGGGACACCAGTATAACTAGAAAAGAAAGGTACAGGATAGAATTTGCAAAGTATCTGAAAGGGAGACACCAAAGGGTTGTAATGTAGGGATGTAATAGATGCCAGTGAAGTCGAGAGGTGTAATAGGAAAGGTTGTTCTTAAGGGGCATCAGGTAAAAGGTTTCATTACAAGTGGAAAGGAGCATTTCCCTGCATAGCCAATTGAATGTTGGATACTATGGAACTGCTGCAGTATATTATGGACACACACAGTTTGGGCAGGTTAAAGAGAAAGGTGGGACAAAGTGATCAAGGATGGTATGCGCTAAAGATAATACTGTTGCCTCAGGCATTCCTTAAGCTTGGGTTACAGGAAACTAAGAGAGTATCCTAGGGGAAGTATCTACCTTGGTATGTGTCCATCAGCAGGGTTATACTTAGGTTTACATTACACTGTTGATACTGCTAAAATTCCACAGTGTATTTACTAGAGCTTTTTACCACCTCAGATGCCAGTCCCCCTTGAAAATGTGGTGTGCCCTGTCTTTTGGTCTGTATCTGCTAGCCTTGCAGTAGCCTAAGAGTTGTGTCAATAAAAGCACGATACATCTTCTGTGTCTGCAGACATATAGGAGTAAAGCTTGTTGAAGTGTACCAGTGTTTAGATGGCTGTTCGATAAGCTTTACTTACTTCAAAGAGCATTAGCATTTCAGCTGAAGTACAAAAGGCAGTTTGCAGAGGTTTGGGGTACAGAAGAGTGAACCACATACAATCAAATGAGTATTTTATTAATAACTTTTTTTCTTGAAAGTCCATTGGTGTTCGTGAAGATTGTACTACTCCACTAGAGGACAGTAAGGAACTGTGTTTACTTTAAGAAGAAAGTAAGAACTATATTTCCACTTTGGTTAGCTGGTATTTTAAGGCATCAGTTGCGCTTAAAACACCAAAAAAAAACCTGACATATTTCAGCATCTAGAAATGAGAATACAAACAATAGTTGAGATACACTATGCTTTCCCTTTCAAAGAGAGAAATTCCTAAAGAAATACCAGAAACTTGAGCAACTTATTTACCAAAAAAAGCTGACTGAAATCTCCTAATTTTAGAAATGCCGCTTCAGCTATTTGCAGTAACTTCTAATAGCAATTTCTAATCCCAGCTTACCTCAGTTACATGCATACATAACCTGTTATGTTCAGAAGTAGCACTGGCCACCTTTATGGCAATTTGTAATTGCAGTCAGAAGTGGAGTATGCGTTCTTCGGGCTGTTTTTCTCAACATCTGTGAGTAATGAAGAAGAAAGAAAACTCCAGACAAAAGCTAAGATGAAGTGGATTAATGTCTGGAGGAAAATGGGATGGTTGACTAAGTACAGCTGAGTTTTCATATGTTTTCTGATTTGAAGCCAATACTCTCATGTTGAGGTAAAGGTGGCAGGAGTGGACTGACTTAAAGTAGGCATAAGTATCTAAATGGGAACCTCTGAGTAGCAATGCCCTCTGGGTCTGACCTGTACCTTCTGGCACAGCCTCAAGTATCTTCTAGTTTCCTCATGTAGTCTGTGAAAGCATCTTAGGATTCAGACTTAGGTACATGTTACCCTTTCTCATTTTATGAAATAAGGGGGAAAGTATGGTAATTAATGTTAGGATTTGTTTATCATTTAAATGAAGATGTGGATATGTAATGTTCCTTGATTTGCCATGGTTAGGAGGAGCGGAAGACTTGATGTTCACATGGGTAACCTCATCTCACTTCTGTTGGTCAGAACATCGTTACAGCAATCCTGAAAAAGGGCTGCTTGAGTGCAGGCATCAGGTGTTGTTAAAGTGTCTGCAGGCAAGCTATTTCACTGCCTGCAAGGCCATCCCGGTCGTTAGTTGCCTTTAATTAGCTGTGCTTTGAAATTTCCTCAAATAGGAAGGATGAATGGCATGTCCCTAATGAAGCAGGAGGAAGACAATGTCTATCTGCTGATTAATGAAGAATTCTGTCAAAAAACAGTACAAGGGAAAAAAAAATAAAAATGGAGGAAGAGCAGAGAGAAAAGATCAGTGAGGTGCTTGTTGATACTGGACTACCAGTGGACTCCTCGTTTAGAAACAAGACTAGGCTGATTTTAGCATAGATTGTCATCTCAATCCTCAAAGCAAGGGCTCTGCTGTGCTTAAATAAATCAGCTGTGGAAAAATTGGAAGAAAGAACTACTGATGTTTTCTTCCACGTGTATGTGCAGAAAGACTGCTCATTCTGAGCAGATTCAATCTTTGTGTTGGTCCCTGCACAGACTAAGCATTTTCTTTGTCTGAGTATGAACAACTGCTAAGGGAAGTGCAAGATGAGGCAGACGTAAGCACAAAGCTCCACTCGGTGAAAGATGGACTAAACAAATAGAATCATTAAGGCTGGAAACAACCACTAAGATCAACTAGTCCAACTATTACCCATGCCCACTGCCCACATCCCCCAGTACCTCATCCACACTTCTTGAACACCTCCAGGGACAGTGACTGCAACACCTCCCTGGGCAGCCAGTGCCACTGCATCACCACTTTCTGAGAAGAAAATTGTTCCTAATACCCAGCCTGAACCTCCTCTAGCACTTCATTAGATTAGTTTCATTAGATAAAATCTGAGATGTCAAGCATTTTTTCTCACAAGTTTGTGCTTTGCTTGCAGTCTTGGAGGTCAGATTGTGTTCCTGTATGCCTCCAGTACATGGAAAAATGTTGTACTGTAGACACAACAAACAGTGACGTCTTCTGTGAATTACATTACAGGTTGCGAAGTACAGTGTCAGCACAGTTTGGGTTAAACTTCACAGCTTTGTGGGTGCTGTGTCTTAGATCAAGTATTTGGCATAAAAATATGTCTGACCATTAAGTTTGAAATGATGGGTGCTACCCATATGGATAAATCTTCCCTTGATAGTTATTTTGATACATTTTTCCTGAGTTATTCTTTCTCCCACTCTTTAGTACAGAAGGCTGGCCTCCCCTCCAGAATATCACTGGAATTCACACATGGCAAGACAGTGGCCTCCCTGGACACACTGTTTAGGTACAGCATAGAATCATAGAATTGTCCGAGTTGGAAGGGACCCTTAAAGATCATCTCGTCCAACTCCCCTGCAATGAACAGGGACACCTACAGCCACATCAGGGTGCTCAGAGCCCCATCCAGCCCAACCTTGTGTGTGTCCAGGGATAGGGCACCCGCTGTGTCTACATCCCAGTGGCAGGACCTAACCACTGCCAAGAGGCATGGAGTGCCTGCAAGGGTGGAAGAACAGCTCTGTCTCACACTGCGACAAGTGGGAGACAGCCTTGCTGGCAGGAACCACGAGAGGGACGGCTGGAGACTGTGTGCCCTTGGA